TTTATCATACCAGCATGTTGGAAGCTTCTGCCAGCTCCATCTTGCTGTCCTAATCTGTTGGCTCATACTGCTTTTTATTGAGTATGATAGTAGATAGCAAGGAAAAGATCCTGTTCTTTAGGTTAAATTAAAGCAAAAAAAAAAAATAGACTAATTGTAATCAATGAACAGGAGTTTAAAATGTATGTATGTCACTGTAAAAAAATTTTTCATGTGCTCCTCTATCATGATTTTGGTAGGAAAAAAAAGAAAAGTAGTCAACCAGAAAAAAAGGTAATAATCTCTAAATATTAAAAAAAAAAAAAAATTGTTTTCTCATTGCTATCTCATGGGTGTTACCCAAAGACAGTATTTTTGTTTTTCTTTTCTTTTACTTTGATTAATCTCTATACACATTAGAGTTCAGTGGAAGGTTTTTAATATTGTCTTCTTAAGGGGGCAATCGTTCTTTCTTTTACTTACTCAGTCATTGTTATTATGTGACAATGAACTCTTTTTTCTGGATAGTCTCAAGGCTTATGCAAAATTTTATAAGAAAAGAGAAACCAAAAGGTTTATTTATAATTCTGTCATATTTCCAGCATACAAATACTACCATGTAGCACACCCCTGCTGTGTAATTAGAATCTTCTCCAATTCTTTTTCCTCCTTTTTTCTATTTAGTACTCTGAAATTTCAATATAATGTATTCTACTGTCAGTCAAGTTTATAAGTCACATAACCAAGGGAAATAGTTCAAAATTAAATTAGAAGATAACATGGGATTTAGGCAAACAAAAAGGCTCTGCTTCTGCAAGGACTAAAGGTGCTCTGGTGGCATAGTGGTTAAGGCATTAGACTGTTAGTCAAAAGGTTGCTCTGTGGAAGAAAGATGGGGCAGTGTGTCTCTGTAAAGATTTACAGTCTTGGAAGCCCTATTGGGGTCGCTATGAGTCAGAATCAACTCAATGGCAGTGAGTTTGGTTTTTGGTTTTCTCCAAGGACTTATACAGCCGAAAGAGAAGAAATTCAGCTTGTATCTCCAGGTCCCTTCCTATAAGGAACTAGACCAATGTAGCTAGAGCACTGACCTAAGCCATGGGTAGGGTATTCAGGTCTCAAAAGCAGTCAAAGTAGTCTACTCAAAGTAATCCTGGATCATATCTGGGCCAAGTGTGTGAAGGAGAACTAAGAGGCAAGCCAGGAAATTTAAATACCAGTACCAAGTCTCAAGTAATAGGAGTGAGTTTTTAAATGGGAGGCAGAACCAAGAGTCAAGATCCAAGTGAAGATAATTAGAAAGCTAGCAAGTAGAACTGGTAGCATAGTGGCTAAGACACTTGCCTGCTAACCAGACGGCTGGCGGTTCAAACCCACCAGCCACTCCTCAGAAGAAAGGTTGGGCAATCCTACTTCCGTAGTGATACTGCCTCGGAAACCCAAGGAGGGGTCGCTATGAGTCGGGTTTGACTCGACGGCACATAACA